CGTTGCAGGTTGTTGCGCGTCGGGCAGCGGTCAAGGAGCGGAAGGTGCCGCGGCCAAGCGTCCGTCCCCTCTTCGTTAGGAAATCCCCGTAGAGAGGGGTGTGAGATGGCCCGTGGAGATAACGTGTCCCTGTTGTAAATTGGGTAGAGCTGCCTCATCTCTTCAAATGCCTTTCCTGCTTGCAATCGCTGGATTGCTAAAACGAAAAGCAGTTTCGAGGATCGAGTGTGCTTCTGCTTTTCCCAGATCATCCAAGGAAGCAGCTCAGTGAAAAATCATCCTCCCCCCTGCCCTGTTTTATTTGGTGGGTTCTTCAAGTAGTGCCATGTACGTTTCCGTCATGGCTGGAGAAGTCTGCGTATTCTCTTTTTAGATCAAAAGCAAAATATCTAACGTGTGTTTGAGAACATGATGCGCTGTAGTGCTTAGGCATGATATGTTTCATGTATTTGTTATAAAGAGCAGGAAGTTCTGTCATTGCATCAAAGTGTGAGGGAAGATGTACCTTGAGTACACAATAGGCTGGAAATGAAACTTGCTGTGAGGCAAAACTGTGCTGCACGTGCTACTCTTCTGCAGGTGCTGATTTTGCCAAGATCTGGTGTGCAACGTGTGCTGGGTGTGATATTTGGCATCACTGCAAACTTGAGTTTGCAAGTTTGCTTCTTTTGCATGTGGCTGTTGATTATGAAGTCATGTGATGCTAGTCTCCTTTGTCAGGGAAAGACAATGCAACTCGGAGATGACCTGCCAATGGGGAAACTGGAGTCACAGTAAACAACTTAAAACGAAAAATTGGTTAATGGTGAAGTCTTTGGGTGGAAGAGTAATTACTCTCCATTTATAAGAGTCTTTATCACTTAATTCCAGCTGATGTAAGTACGAGGCTAATAGTGGAGTGGTAGAAATGGCGAGTGTAACCCTTAACCTATGCTGTTCTTATAAAACAAAAGCTCACTTCAGAGTGAGCTATCAAATACAGAAATGTCATTCAGCTTTCCAGGTTTCTATATGCATACGGATACTAGATGTAGACTGTCAGTGTGCATATCACCTGGATATGTTTTTGGTTGGCAGTACTTGCTCATTGAGTGAGACTTTGCAGAGTAAATTAATAGGAAACATTAAAGAAGCCCGATGCTCGTTTACGTCATATGATGTCTGGAAACTTCTGAAGAACTAGAATTCCAGTTGGAAAGGGGGTTAATAGGGAAGGTGTAGAGCGTGTAAGAACGCTACGTCAACTTCTTCCTGAATAGTATTGTTGTTTGGATTTGTTTAATCTACAAATGCTGCGTTTTGCAATGAACATCGGTAGGAATTACTAATGCTTGCTGTATACCTGCAAAAGCAACTTAAAATTTAGAACGAGATAAGCAGATATGGTACACATAGATAGCTTACAGTACAACTAAGTTATTTGAAAATAAATATGGAGAGAAGAGAAAGAAGCATGCATATTTTCCCTGACCACAACAAAGGGTACAACTACGGTAATGCTATGGATGGTTTGGAGTAATAGATCATCCTACAATGTTTGAGATATGTAACCAAATATAGTATCTTAAAAACGAGTATATCTACAAGATATTCTTTTAGAAGAGCCCCTCTGTAGGATGGTGACTTATCTAAAATGTAAGCCTACAATTTAAAGGGGTAGATGGATGTTAAAAACTGTAGCTTATCTACATTGGGCTGTATTTCTGTCCCCAATACCAGAACTCCTGTTGAATTTTTCTGACTCTCCAAATCAGGAGTTATTCCAATGTTAGCTTCTCTTCTGTATGTTTGTACTGCACATCCTTAACCCTCCTTTCTGCTTTTAAAAAGGCACTTTTTTTTAAGTTTGTCCAGAGTTGGCACAAGGGTCACATCTCTGTATGGGAATAAGTGGTTAGTGTGCAGACTCTTAACACTTTTTGCATGTGCAAGGTAGCTTGGTGGTTTGTAGGGGAAGGATGGCCTTTGCTGGAACGTAAGGTTGTGAGGAGCCCTGTGTGATCCTGTGCCTTTCTGCTTCGATGTGCCTTTTCAGAACCTGCAGTTTCCAGACTCCTCCTTTCTGTGCTCCTTTCCTCGTGCCGCATTCTCATCCTAGTGAGAGGTTCAGGAAGTGAAAGCTGCCAAGCAAGTGAAGGGGCAAAAGTAGCAGCTTCAGAGACTGGTTGCCTCTCAGTTGCTCAGATGTGATGTGTGTAGCTGGGTAACATGCTGCATAGCTTACAGACATGTGAGTATTCTTCTGGCCCTTCATGTACTTGAAAGCATGCCCATCTGCTTTGGCCAGTACCCTGCAGTGAGACAGAAAACCGCTTGGTGGACTGTGGTATGTAGGTCTGGTTTAACATCACAATCTGTTTCACCAAAGCAAGAGGGTTACCTGTTGCTTTATAACTTGAGTAAAGATAGCAGCTTTTAAGGCTTTTTTCTTGTGTGCACCTGCATGCTTGCCTGATCATCTTGTGTATTTATATTTAGTCATCAGAAAACCAGATTGCTATGTTTACTTGTAAGTGTGAAAGAGCATTCTCAAGTATATTTTGGTGGTAATCCTGCAGATCTTTGTGGCATAAGGAGTTAATTGAGGTATAGCCTCTTTTATGGTGACTTGAGACTTGAGCAGCCTGAGTATCAAGGAGACAGATGATTTTGCAGTGCTGAACTTGTAGGCCAGGTACAGTAAGCCCTGACACTTAGTGATATTGCATCTGTCTTTAACACAAGGGTGGTATCTGATTGCTTTCAAAAGTCTTAAAGAGCATCCAGACATTACTGGAAATAATATTATTGATATTTCTGGTATTTCTATTTCTTCTGTTACCAACAAAGCCTGCTGTTCTTTTTTTCCCCCTCCTCTCCGACTCCTGCTTTTACACATGCACCTGCTCGCACACACACACACACAAATAAGCGTAACAAGCAGAGGGGTACTGGCATGTGAAGTAGTTCTAATGTCTGTTACTGTATTAAACACAGCTGCCTATTTCAGTTGCTGCTTGAAATGCATCATATAAATAGCATTGTAAGTTCGCGTTGCAGTGCTCCTTCTGTGTTTGTGCCAGGCTCAGCTGGAATTGTTATATTCATGCAGTTACATGCTGTTAGTTCATCTAAACCGAGTCCACTGATGATGCAGGTAGAAAGGCTTCCTTGCCTGCAGCACGACATGGCTTCTGCAAAGAGAAGAGGCAATAAGGTGGATAAACTCTTAACTCCATTAGTTGGATTGAGGGTGGGACTACTGCTCAAGCTACCCGGCTTGCAGCACCAAGAAGTTCTTAAAGCAGTTGAAAAGAGCATAGCTTAAACTGGTGATAAAATGCAGTTTAGCATCAACTTGTAAAATGGCTACATTCTTCTAACCTGAGTAATCTAACAGTCCTCTAGCCTTAGGGAAGTAATGATGTATATGACCCTTTTGCTGCCCATCTGAATTGCAATTGAGTGAGGAATTAATTAAGCAGCTCTTCCACTGTCCATCTGTGGACTTGTTTTTATCATCCTGACTGATGATAATAGGCTGCAAATGTCCTGTCAGCAATACAGGAAGCCTTCTGTCTAGATGAAAGAGGAAAGAAATGAAACCCAGTTTTACAAGGTAGATGTCTTGTTTTTCTATTTGCTTGTTTTTATTTTTTATTTTATATTTTTTAAGTAGAATTTAATACCTTCACATTTTGTTGGGGTGGTGCTTGACTAGTTATCATGGAATCCTCTGTCTAAAGCTTATTATCCACACCTATGGTGGAAGCTCTCAGAGTGTGGTTTGATATGTGCTGTGGTTTGATCGCATATGGCAAACATGGCTCTTACCACCACCTACATGTAATATTTGATACATTAACAAAGTAGCTAGTAGGTGTCAACAGTTTTTCTTTCCTGTGTCCCAGGAGTATGTCTTATGTAAGAGCAAGCAATTGTTGCAGGAAAGAACAGGAGCTTTGGAACTGGCTTTGCTGCTGGAGGAGTTTGAGGAATATAATTTCAAGCAGTGATTTATCTCTGAACATCAGTTATTTACGAGAGCAAGTGTTTACTCAGAATAGGATTTAACGGTAACCTGTACTATAACACAAATGCTACAAGTTCTTTTGGCTGCTTTTTGAGGCAGGGTTAACATGAGTATTGTTTGCTATCTGAAATCGGTTGAAAGCTGACCCCTCAGTCAGGTGATTTCCCACAGTCCTGCTGGTTTTTTGCCTCTTTGATTTTTAAAGTGCCAGGATCATTCTGCTAGTTGTCCTAAATAAGCCTTTAAGCCTTTTTTTTTTTTTTCCATATCAGATGTTTCTATCAAATAAGTCGTATCTTGCTCCCCTTTGCTACCATTTCTTTTAGCTCCTGCATTTTTGTTTAACTGTTACTGTGTTAGCAGTTTCCAGTTCATGCTGCTGCTAGGTTTTGGCTCAAAGTGATGTAAGGAAAACAGGAAGGCTGATTGTTCTCGTGAACTTTTATTTCCAGTACTACAGAGAGAGATGCTTTGTGGCACACTTGCTGATACTTTGTACACATAATTTTAAGAGGACTTGCCCTGAAACAGTAGTTGCTCCTTCCCTTTAGTGTTTAAGATCAAATTCAGATTCTGATCTTAAGTACGGGTTGAACTCTGGGCAGTGCAGCAGTTGTGTGGGTAGTGGCTGATGGCACTTTCCTAAGTATTTTGACTTCATAAGGCCGGGGTGAATCAGGGCGGGTGTACACCAGGTGAGTGAAGTAGCCAGTGCTGATGATGTTTATCTTCAATTGGCTATTTGCTATCAGTTACAAAAAGAAGTTATAGAAAAGATCTAATGCACTCAAGTGCAATGATGGTGAGCAAGGCTCCCTCTTGGTAATAAATTCTACAAAGCTGTGTGTGCAGCAGGATTCCTTTAAATGTAGACGGTCAATTATGTTGCAGTTTTCTCATAGAGAGTGATCCTTTAGGGTTGCCTGACTTTTCCAGTGTGGAAGGTAACGAGATGCTGGCTGCATGAAAATGCTGCATACCCTGCTGCTTGACAGAGTTCAGGCCAGGTGTGAATGAAGGGGATGCCCTACTCAGAGGGAATGCTGTCCTAAGTACATGTGGAGATCGCCTCATATGTGTAAGCTGGGGAAGTGATGTAGAGTGTGCTGCAAGGGAGACCGTAAACATTTCCGGAAAGTGATGCATTCATGGGAAGAGCTATCTGAAGCAGCTACTAGTCACTTCATCCTAACATTGCTCGGCCATGCTTGTGCAAATATGTTGTACAGTAAACTGGGTTAGAGAGTTGATCTAGTTTCAAAGAACACAAGAAAAAAAGCTGTTTGGAACATGGATTAATTCTAAGTCTGATTCATCATGTTGTATCATAAATGAGCATGGGAGCTATTTAAATTGGCAGCACCACTGACAGAATTTCTCATGAAGCGATGCTTTGAAATACATAGCATGGGCTTTTTCTTCTGGTTTTGTGGTTGTACCACTGCAGGTCATGGCTAGTTATGAGCTTACAGTTTGCTGCCAGGTTAGGTTAGCAAGTGAGTGGAAATGTTGGGTCAGGAATGCTGTTTGACTAGATGACTGGTATTGAAATATGTTGTCACTGAGTAGATCTTAACTTTGGATTAATTAGTATTTAAAAAAGAAGTACTTGTGCCTGGTTGATAGATAGCCCTTTGTGCTGTATCTTCTTGTATAGCCTGCACCTAATCCATATCCTGAGTTCTACCACCTAGTTTGTTTCGGAAATTGGTGGCTTCCACAGTGCTAATGCTAGATTTAGACAAAATGATGCTGCACACCGTCAGCAGCTGGCAGCATGACTGATATTTTTACTTGTACTTGAACTAGTAACACTAACCAGTGCTGAACTAGAGGGGAGCTTTTCTTCCAGGTGGTGACATGTGTGTCTCAATGATCTGGGCCATGAATTTTTGTTTGTCTCCAACTACTGATCCTTGATATTCTCACTTCTTTAGTACACATTGTGACAGACACAATTTCAGTGGGTTGCCATAACTCTAGGAAATGTTTGTGATGGTAGGATGCCTTCTTCCGTATCTCTACCACATATGGAGCATATGTAGTCAGCTTCCCTCAGTTCTTCAGTTAGGCAAACTTAATGACATCCTTCGATGTGGGAGAAACTTGCTGTGGTACAAGGAGACTCTTTTAAGGTGTTCTCCTTCTTCTGTGTAGCCCTTCTTTAATCTTTACTCCTGGGCATAGGGACAAAAGCCATAAAATAAGAATTATCTGCTATCTGTAATGACTGTTTATACAGCCGGATTTGAGATAAAACAGTGGCTATCAGACCTTTCAGTTACTCTTTGCACTTAAAATGGGCTTGCACTTTGAATGGGAAGGGACTTGTTATCTGGGGTTTCTAACTATTTTGGTTCGATTGTGTCAACAGGAACTGTTTATCTTTTTGAATGCTTGTGAACTTATTTGGTCATGGAAGGAAAACCCCTTAAGGGCTGTTGAACCAAAAAAAAAAAAAAAAAGTCTGATTTGGAAAGTACCTGAGTTGCTGATTGGTGTCCTGGTCTCCAACACAGGCAGGAAAGTATTGCTCCCTGATCCGTGAGGAAAAATTACTAGAACAGGTTAAGATGTTATCAGCTTCTGGACTAAATAGGCATCTGCCTAAGCCTGACGTGGCTGATTCTGTAGTTGGAGCATCAAACAATGCAACAATAATACTTACTCTTGCTGTACAGAATCACAGAATGGCTGAGGTTGGAAGGGACCTCTGGAGATCATCTAGTCCAACCTCCCTGCTCAAGCAGGGACCTCTAGAGCATATTGCCCAGGATCACCTCCAGACGGGTTTTGAATACCTCCAGGGAAGGAGACTCCACTACCTCTCTGGGCAACCTGTTCCAATGCTCTGTCACCCTCACAGTGAAGAAGCTTTTTCTCAGGTTTAGGTGGAACTTCCTGTGGTTCAGTTTCTGCCCATTGCCTCTTGTCCTGTTGCTGGGCACCACGGAGAAGAGGCTGGCCTCATCCTCTTGACACTCCCCCTTCAGATACTTATACACGTTGATGAGATCGCCTCTCAATCTTCTCTTCTCCAGGCTGAACAGGCCCAGCTCTTGCAGTCTTTCTTCCTAGGAGAGGTGCTCCAGTCCTCTAATCATCTTTGTAGCCCTTTGTGTACCTCTGTTTATGGATCTCTGCTCCTTTACAGTTATCTTGATTTCATGTTTTCCAGGTCAAGTGTGTGATGCACCAGATAAATGATTTCCTCAGGA